GCATGAGCCACCATGCCCGGCTAATTTTTTCTATATAGATTTTTAGTTGTCCAAATAATTTCTTTCTATTTTTAGTAGAGACGGGGTCTCACTCTGTTGCCCGGGCTAGAGTGCCGTGGTGTCAGCCTAGCTCACAGCAACCTCAAACTCCTGGGCTCAAGCAATCCTCCTTCCTCAGCCTCCCGAGTAGCTGGGCCTACAGGCATGAGCCACCATGCCCAGCTAATTTTTTATACATGTATTTTTGGTTGTTCAGCTAATTTTTTTCTATTTTTTTTAGTAGAGACGGGGTCTTGCTCTTGCTCAGGCTGGTCTTGAACTCCTGAGCTCAAACAATCTGCCCGCCTCGGCCTCCCAGAGTGCTAGGATTACAGACGTGAGCCACCGCGCCCGGCCTGTAGAATAATTTTAAGCTCTCGTTTTTAGCTCTACGAAGTGGGGAGTTTAGGTTGAGGGATGCATTTACACTATTTTTTGTTTTAATATGGTAAACACATTTTGGTTTTGAAAATATTTTTGTGAAATTATGTATCTTTTTGTTTATTAGTATACTTTTTATTCTTCAGAACACATTAGCTGTCATTATAATAACACATTTTCTAATCAGTAACTGTTATTGTTTATAAGCATTTACATGTTACCTTATTTGAAAATACTTTTTCGCCTTAGAATTAATGTATAACAATGTTTTTCTATGTAGATTTAATGACATTCACGTTCCTGTGAGATTAGAGAGTGTGAAATTTGCCAGTCATTGTTTAATGAATCACCCAGATTTAGCAAAGGATCTCACAGGTAAGCTAGCTGTTTTTTGTTTTTTTTTGTTTTGTTTTGTTTTACAAATATTAGCATAATGATACAAATATATTTTAGATGTGGTCTGTGTCCTAACTTCAGTTTCTGAATGGGTTTTATCTCTGGTATGGTTTCAGGTCTTCATTTGTCATGTACTAGGAAATGATTTCATGTTTATATAATAAAATTAAATTTAAAATCTTTATACTTTAATCCTTTGGAATTTTTTGGAAATCAGTTTGAGGAAGTAGAATATTCCTTAAGACATTGGATTTGGACACAAATCGTTATATTAATATAGTAACATGTCTAATAATTGGAAAACTGATTATCTTCTGCATTAGGCTAGAATTTCTCATTCTTCCCTTGAACCTAGCACGTTTAAATCTACCTATTTGGTAATAGCAATTAAATGGCTTCTATAAAAAGACTGTTGTTTACAAAAAGCACAGGAAATACATATTTTGTTTTGATTTAGTTTGTATTATAAATTATTTTGGAATTTTTTAGGGATTATAAAACATTCTGGAATTTATATCATGTAATATGCAGGTATATACCTATTAGCTAACTTTTTATACACATTTATGCTATTTTTCTTTTAAACTCTTTAATTTGTAACTGGAATTCCAAACTATCTAAATCAGATACTGCAATGTGATTTGACTTTTCTGAGCTAGTTGATGTAAAATACATTATTTATTAAAATGCGACTATGGAGTTATAAGCATAGTTTTGTGATTACAATAAAGTACTGCTGCCTTAAAAATAATTTTAATTCATGCCATAGTTTACAGACATTGTTTCAGTATAGACAAAAACTTCAAACATTGCTAGTCTCTTGTGTCTTTCTGAATCATGACGAATTATCTAGCTAGCATTAGCTTAAGTTTGTTTCTCTTATTACAGAATATTTGAAAGTTAGATCTCATGATCCAGAAGAAGCTATTCGTCATGATGTCATTGTTACCATAATAACAGCTGCCAAAAGAGACCTTGCATTAGTAAATGATCAGCTGCTTGGCTTTGTAAGGGAAAGAACACTGGATAAACGGGTAAAATCTTACAGATTTTATTCATCTGTAATTTACTGTTTAAAATGTTTGCTAAATATAATTAATATTATTTTCTATTACATTTAAAGCCTTTCTGTGTGAAAATCAAATTAATAATAATGCTAAATAAAGATTACCCAGGTGGGTGGTATGTGCCTGTAGTCCCAGGTGTTCGAGAGGCTGAGGCAAGAGGACCACTTGAGCCCAGGAATTTGAGGTTACAATGAGCTATGATCACGTCACTGTACTCCAGCCTGGGCAAGACCCTGTCTCAAAAAAACAAAAAAAAAAAAAAAAAAAAACCCTACAAAAACCACAAAATGCTAAATAAAGAGCTAACAGTTTGTATATTTCCTATATATCTTTTAATTATCTTTATGAATGAACACATTGGATTCTGTAGCTTTTTTGATCTTAAATATAGGTTTCTCTTCTAGCATACCTTTATGAAAGAACCACTAAATTAAACAAAGTTTTATCTTTTCACTTACATGATGAGTTTCAAAAAATAGTGATTGATCGCCTATCTTTGTTATAGTTAAATGTTTTCAGTTATTACTATCTTATATAACTTAGATAGATCTGTCAGTTATTGAACTAAAAGAATATCAGACTTCCTAAGAAAGAGACATTTCCACATTACTATGCCAACCTAATGAAGAAATGATGATTATGTAATTAGTTACTTTTTCCTGTGATTTTCTCTATTTGATGCAGTCAGAAACATGGATTGATAAGGAAAAGTTGTGCTGAGAACAGCAATAGCAATTTCTAAGGAATAGGGTCAACCATAAGAGACAGACATGTGAGGCAGGTGTATTAGGTATCTACTAACATTTTTTTTTTTTTGAGACAGAGTCTCACTTTGTTGCCCGGGCTCGAGGGCCATGGCATCAGCCTAGCTCACAGCAACCTCAAATTCCTGGGCTCAAGCGATCCTCCTGCCTCAGCCTCCCGGGTAGCTGGGACTACAGGCATGCGCCACCATGCCCATCTAATTTTTTCTATTTTTAGTTGTTTGGCCAATTTCTTTCCATTTTTAGTAGAGACGGGGTCTCACTCTTGCTCAGAGCTGGTCTCCAACTCCTGAGCTCAAGCGATCCACCCATCCCGGCCTCCCAGAGTGCTAGGATTACAGGCGTGAGTCACCGCGCCCAGCCTACTAGCATCTTTAACAAAGATGTTAGTATGCTATTTTATTTGAGGCATAGTTGAAAACCTGCTGTCCTCTAGAAACAAGTAGGTTTAATTTTAGGGTAGAAAAGTAATTGGTTTTGGTTTTGAAATATAGCAAGCGATATTCTTTAAGTTTTTACTTTTAGTTGTAGGAGGCAGATGTTTAAAAAGTGGTCACTATTTAACTTGTTCAACTATATCAGTAATTCTAACTTTGAAGATTTTTTTTCCTTCTTGGCTTTAATTTAACTGAAATGACTCTCAACCTAGCGGTTATTTGGCATTGCCTCCTTCTCTCTTTTAGAAAAATTTCACTCCTATTAATATTTTTTCAGAGTTTCAGAAAGAGTTGAATAAATGAATCTCCCTAACTGAAACTGCATGATGTGCTCATAATAGTACCTACTGAACATTTTTCAGACCTGGATTTTGATCTAATAAGTTAGATGACCTTGATTATATCCTTTCTGAAATTTGTTTTTTTTGTTTTTTTGCTTTGTTTTGTTTTTGAAACAGAGTCTCGCCCTGTTGTCCTGGCTAGAGTACAGTGGCATGATGATATAAGCTCACTGCAACCTCCAACTCCTGGGCTCGAGTGATCCTCTTGCCTCAGCCTCAGTAGCTAGGACTACAGATATTGTGCCTGGCTAATTTTTTTTTTATTTTTTGTAGAGATGGGGTCTCACTGGGTTTCTCAGGCTGGTCTCAAACTCTTGGCCTCAAGTAGTCCTCCCACCTTGGCCTCCCAAAGTGCTGGGATTACAGGCATAAGCCACCGCACGCTCCCAGCCTGTCTTCTTATGTATAAAATACGGGGACAGGAATTAATCTTAGATTTCACTGTTCACATTTTTGGATTTCATGTAAGAAATATCAAAAGGCTTCTATTAACCTGTAGTATAGGAACACAGTTTCATTTCATCCATTAAGTATCCTAAGAATGAGAAAGTGATACAAGAGATTTATAAGGAAGTATTAATGTATATAAGCCACAGATAGTATACTGCCCCGCCCCCCTTTTTTTTCTTTTTTTGAGACAGAGTCTCACTCTTTTTGCCCGGGCTAGAGTGAGTGCTGTGGCCTCGCTCACAGCAACCTCACACTCTTGGGCTCAAGCGATCCTCCTGCCTCCCGAGTAGCTGGGACTACAGGCGTGCACCACCATGCCCGGCTCATTTTTTCTATATATTTTTAGTTA